GAAAAATAGGGTAAATTTATTAAAATATTTCAAACCAGTAGGAGATTTTAGGACACGAATACAATAATGAATTGAAATTACTATGATTGCCGTACAATATAGTAAGTATAAAAAAGTATATCCATAGGATCCGCGTTAGAAAACTATAAAGAAAGTCCATTATTTGGTAAATGATCTGCCTGAATCCATATCTATTTCAGATACAGATATATTCATTATGTACAATCTTTGATAACTCTATTGTAATAAACTATTACAGATTTTAGTAGTTGAACGAAATGATCAAGCAATAGTTACGAATTAAATGAATGGTTATGAATCGACCAGTGTGGTGAGATCAGTAAATGGACAGGTTACAAAATGACCAGCTCCCAAAATAAAACTGGAAATAATAAATAAAAAAGGAAATAGCACTTAGAACTGAGGGATATATAATAATTATTACTTACATGTAATTGTTTTTCAGTTTTTTAATACATGCGTTATATAAACATATCTATCTACTCCTTACACTCTCCTATATAAGTGCGCGAACCGTTCGAAGTCCGCGTCTTCTATAATGCATTTGATTGCCTGTCTATGGAGTTGCGTAACATGTTTTCGAAGGGATTAGGAAATGTCGTAGTCGAGTTATCATATATCACATATTGCAAATTTTAATAAAGAATATTTATAGTAATTATAACCCCTAATCCTTCGTCTTTGCCCCTTGTACGGGTAAGTGACGGAAAACTGTCATCAGGTTCAAAATAGTCCGAGTTTGAAAAAACCGTACCAACAATAAGTAAATAAAGTTATATTGACATAACAAGCTGTAAGAAAATAATTTACTTACCACTCAATCGCTGACATTTTTGGTTTATTAATGTTTCACTCTAAATCATAATTTGGCGCGTTTAATGCAGACGAACCCGCGATTAGCGATGACAATATAGTAGTTTAATACCTACCGAGCCCGGATAGTGTCGGTTGTACGGAGTTTTCCCCCTTTTTCGGCAATATGTCGGTGAAAGCGAACGAAAAGTAGAAAAAAAACGAAACAAATCGGCGTTGTGCAACCATAAGTGGAAATTCAACTTGATTTGTAGGGTAAATCAATTGCATATTCAATACTTTAAATGTCTGGAGCGTAGAAACGTTTGTACAAGCGCTAATATTTGTAAAATGCAGTTTTCTAATGTTCCACAAGTTTGCCGAGAGACGTCCCATAGCGTTACGCGCTCGTTACTGACCTTGTCTATAACTATATAGCATATTATGGACTGTTTTTGAAATTGGAATTTTTAATTGGAATATAGTATATTAGGAAGATTGGTGTGTAAAGAGGTCAATTTAGCACATCTTCAACGCAAATTTCACACTGGCCCAGGGCCTATGTACTTGAATGAAAGCATCACCTGTTAAATATAACAGAACATGAATAACCATCGAGATGAGCTTCTTTTTCTTTTAAACAATAACCTGATATGAAACCAGTGTACTAAATCAAATTGTAGGGGTGGGAGGGATGGGATGGGAAATAAACATGCGAATAAAGCAATGCAATTATTGTCCAACAACATTGACCTGGCACTCTTGCATTTGACCCCATAGTCGGTAAATTCCGTAAACGTTACAATCTATTGTAAATCGATATGAATGTATATAACCAGATGTTAAATGATCTAAATTACAAATCCCTCTTAGCACAGTCGTAAAATGCTTTCACTTCAAGAATATAGACGCACACTCGTAGGTTCGAATCCTGGTTCAGCCACTTTTATATTTTTTTTTCTTATTTTAAAATTACTATTTCTCTCTTAATTCGTGCAAAACGTTTTGAGTTTTGGTTGTGTATGAATTTTAATTTGTATTATGGACGTGCTGTCCTTTCTATTAATTAAAGATAATGTAATGAAATAAAATTGTATAAAAACACAACTTAAAAGGCATCCTAAAAACAAGATGTAGTTAAACGATTTCAAATTAATTATTGCAAGTTAATTTCAAAATGAAATAAAAAAAAATGTATGTCCTCATAACATGGTGTTGGTAAGGTCTCGAACCAGGGAACTTCAGATCAGTAGTCAGGCATCGATACCAATACACCACAATTCATTGACGTGGTAAGTTAGTAAAGATATCGATATATTCGTTAGATACCACTGTTTATCACCTGACCTTTACGGAAATTAATGAAGTGCCAGGTCAATATTGTTGGACAAATTACCTCGAGTGATTTGAAAATACCTTTCGATACTTTATATAGAAATCTGATACGCTTAGTTGATGCACGAAAATCTCGTGCAACACAATCTTTACACAATTACTATATATTACAGCGTAACTTAATAGCTCTACCAAGAATAAATACATTTATTTTCTAATTCGCTTGCTCAAACGAAAATAAATTATTTATTCTCTTTAAAAGCTATTAAGCATAATACACAACAAGACATAATTAGGATTGGCCAATTGCATTGCTTTTATTATATCGAGCAAAAACAAAGAACGGGAACATAGTTAATTAACTTTAATATTGAAAAAATTATCTATAAATTGTTCTATGAAAGCTTTTAACAATGTCACTGAAATAATTTACAAATCAAACCATTGCAAATCAAATATTCATTTATATACCTAAATTTTTTGACACTGAAAGAAGTTTACTAAATTCATCTTTAATATAACCATCTTTAGCCTTTTCGGACCGCCAACGGCCATGTCTCTTAAACAAACGGTCCGGAATTCCGAAGTTAGCCGCAGCTGTAGCACCACCGGACCTAAGGCTATGAATCCCAATTTTTTTCTTATCTAAACCAATCTCAGAAAACATGTTAAGTACAATTTCTCTAACCCTAGTATATGACAAATGATTAACTCCTTTTAATTTATAAGTATTTGTTGATTTACAGTAAGACACTGAACGGAAAATAAAATCGTTCGAATCATCTGTAATATTACTCATATCTATATATCTCTCTAACAAAGACACCGGGCATGTCTTTTTACCAGTCCTAGCTATAATACAGTTTTTACCTTCATGATATATGTCCGTTTTGCTTGACCTTATATAGATACAAACATGATCCTGAAAAAACTGAAGATCTGATCGTCTTAGGTCACTTAACTCAGAAAATCGTAAAAACCCTGCATAAGCTACAAAACACATACATAAATTTCTCAAATACATTAAATTTGAATCTTCACCTCCAAACTTGTCCATAAGTTCATTTAACATTAAAGGAGTTACAGGTTCTTTTTTCGACACAGAATGTCCCAAAATCCGGTGTGCTGCTTCCCTGACTGATTTAACCCAAGTAGAATCACAAGGATTAGAACTAAAACCAGCCAAATCATGAGCCCATTTTACTGAATAATAAACTTCATCAACAGAAGTTGGAGAATTTGATCTCTGAATAACTGATATGAGATATAAAGCCAAATTCAAATCACTAGCTGGTAAAGATTCGACACCGTGTTCCCGTGCCCAAAAACACCATTTTCCGAAAACTCTTTGATACTTTTTCACAGTGTTAGAAGCTTTAGATTTCAATATGAAATTTGGTAATTCAGCAGCCAAGGAAGACAACTCCGGATCTTGAAAATCAACTGTGTTGAGATTTCGTGCGATCAGATCTGTAAAATGTATAAAAAGAAAGACAATAAAAAAGTGCGTGCAAATAATAACTATGTTAACAAAATTTTTAACTCAAAGTACACTGTATACACAAAATTTAAACAACGATATTAGCTGTGCAAAAATGTTCAGTCAACCTGTCTATGACTTTTCCTTTTTCAACAATTATGCCAACCTGTCTATGGCATAAATCAATCTATAAACACAAAATATTACAACTGCCAACCTGTCTATGGCAAAATACATAAAAGAAAGAAAACAATCTTTCAAAAATTAACTTCTGATAATGCATTCATGCAATGATTTACCGATATAAACAGTCACGAAAAATCACTGCAATTGAAGAAAACATGTAAAACTTTCAAATTATCCCGTTATAAATACAATACTATCCAATAAAGTTAAAACTCAAATCTGACAGCTAAAATTTTACTGTTAAATTTGTCTGAACCGAAAATAGTATTCTTATTAAGATATTGTATAAATATGTTCTGATCTTTCGAAAAAAGAAGCATGTCCGCGACATACGGTTTAACTTGACTGTTATCTCCCGTTAACATAGGCCAAAAGGGTGCTGAAGGCCAATAAGGTGCTATCAAAGTCCCCGATGCTTTACAAGCCAACAGAAAATTTATAACTCTGGGAACTAAAGCTACAGGAGGTACTAACCAGTTATTTTCATTAGCCCAATTTACAGAAAACGCGTCAACTTTCTCAGTGCCCGGAACCCAAACTAAACTGTTAAAACGAACAATTTTTCGATTATAATGGTTCGCAAAACGATCTACTGTATGAGGTCCCCACATTAAATCAATGAAATCAAAAAACTCTCCTGAAACGCCCCAGTCATCAACATCACATAGTTTACTATAATAATCAGCCAAAGCATTAGATTCTCTGGGAACCCATGTCATATGTAAAGAAATCTGATGTTTAATGCACAATTCAAATATATCTAAAGCTATCCTGTGTAAATCTAATTTCGTACTCCCCCCATCAACAATATGAACACAATTCTGATTATCTGTGCACCACCTCACAGTTAACCCCGCTATAAAAGGTAAAAAACTTTTTAAGGCAAATAAAATAGCAGTTAACTCGCGCCATGTAGAACTGGTGTCCATTTCGGACTGAGACCAATTCCTATGACAAATTTTATCGCTATTACCTTCAATATAAGCAGCGCAGGCTATTTGGCTTGCATCAGAATAGACAGTTACTGACTCAATACCAGTACTGAACAAACGTCTGGTTGGTTTACTAAATATTTTCTTTTTCCAGAATTTGATTTCTCGAATAGCTCCCTCAAACTGGCTAATATCTAAAACAGAGTCCCAGCCCTCATTTCTAGATTCAATAGCATGATGCAAATGTTTTGTCATTAATTTGCAAATATTACCTATAACAGGCATTAATGAAATAATTTTCCCCGTGAACTTTGCTATTTCTCGTGCACTTAAAAGAGGAATTTTCGCACAACATACGTCAATATAATCGGACACATTACATATCCGCCTGTCCGGAATTTCAAGCAAGTTATCTTTTAAATTCCATAAAAGCCCCAGCCATTCAAGAATTTGTACTGGTTCTAATACGCATTTGTTCAAATTAATCAAAAAACCTGACCTAATCAAAACTGACTTCACAAACATGACGTCATTCTTAGCCAATTGAAGTGTTTTATTTACACCCCAGCCATCATCTAAAAATAGTACAAAAAATATACCATTTTCCCTGATATGCTTAACAATTGGCCGTAAACACTTTGTCCAGATAAATGGAGCCGATGTCAGTCCAAAAGGTAAAACAGTGAAAACATAATATTTTGTTAAACCGTTTTCAATCCACGAAAATCCTAAAAAAGTTTGCTGAGATGGAGCTATATCTATATGGTGATATGCTGAGGTTACATCAAATTTGTACATGAAGCCCCCAGGATACAAATATTCAAAAGCGACTGACCAGTCCTCGAACTTAAAATGTTCTTTCCAAACATACCTATTCATAACGCTTAAGTCAAGAATAAGACGTTTTTTCCCAGAACTATTGAGCGACACTGACAACGGATTAACTAAATAAGGAATAAAAGGAACTTCTAAAACACAACCAGAATGAACTAAATCAGTGATAGCACCCGAAACAAAATCACTATGTTCAAAAGCAGACTTGTTGTTTTTGAGAAAATAACTAACAGGAGTTTCATAAAATGGAATAATATAGCCGTTTTGAACTACATCAATAACATAGTCAGAAGCTTTTAAAATATTTCTCCAAAATTCAACATGAGACCGTAACCTACCCTTAACAGACTGATTTTTGCTATGTGAAAAATTCATTTTGTATTCAAAATACTTAGTTTGTGCTAAAATAATGTCCTCTAAAACACAGTTTTTGTTCTGCGAAATACAATCATTTGAAAAATACTCATCTTTACAATAAGCCGGTTCTTGGTTCAGTTGCGGTTTGTTGCGGTTTCCCCGATTGCTGCTGATTGACCTTGACTGGTTGACCTTGTAAAGGGAAGGCGCTTCCGTTAACGGGATAATATCCGACTCCTTGGGGTTGACGTAATCTTGGGCAGTTCGACCGGAAGTGTCCAAATCCACCACAGGCATAACACTGGATGAGCTGTTTGTTGTTTCGTCGAAAGGTACGAAAAGAACTGAATACACCCCTAGCAGTGTCATCAGCATAACCCGTATCACGTGACGACTCCAGCAAGCTGACTGTAGAAGTCGCAGGTTTCGAACCCGACCGAAATTTTTTCTTGGCCAAAGCTCGTTTTTCAGCACGACGGATCTTCTTATCATCGTCGCTATCGCTGGCGATTTCATCCGACTCATATTCAGCAACTGTGTCCCAGCCGCCGGGACTTTTATCAGCTAATTTGATAAGTTTATTCCTGTGAGTCAGGCTTTTGACGATTCCAGCAACTTTATCTAATGATCTACGCTGTTCGTCGTTCTGAATAAAACTGGAAACCGACTCTAACTGTTCAATTAATCCCGAGTTGAATTCGAACTGTTTCCGGTTACTTGTCCACTTAAAGTCCCTAGCACAAGAACTTTCTCTCAATTTTTTGAACTGCTTGTCATTGGACACTAATAAATCGTCTCTCAATTCTCGTTTAAGCGAAGAAAACTTCTTATCTAGATACTCCTGAAAAGCGACCATAGAATCTGCTGAACCGCCTCTATCGCTACCACGTGGCCGCCCTGCGTTTTCGCTATCACTATCCATTTAAGTGGGAAAATAAACATGCGAATAAAGCAATGCAATTACCTCGAGTGATTTGAAAATACCTTTCGATACTTTATATAGAAATCTGATACGCTTAGTTGATGCACGAAAATCTCGTGCAACACAATCTTTACACAATTACTATATATTACAGCGTAACTTAATAGCTCTACCAAGAATAAATACATCTAAGTTACTATGATATAAATGATAACGTTTTTGATGTTCGTCAACAGTCACAGTTTGTTTTTCTTATTTTAAAACATAGCAGCTTGTTTGTCGGCGTAATCAACTGGCTTATTCAAGTAATTAAAGGATAGCCGGCCGCTTGTGTTCAAACGCCGTTAGAGGCAGAATCTTTGCGCTAATTGCTTTGTACTGGTTAGTTCCAGGAACGGATCCTTGCATGTTTCAATCAAGTACATGTCATAGGTTCCAACACAATCAAACTTAATGGAAGTTAACATTACATTGTAATTTATGACGATTCAACAGAAACGTACATAGTAGTCATAATCATAACGCACTTCATTTTTGCATCACTATTTAATCACATCGTTAGTGATTAAGTCAGTTCGAAAATATCTTATTCGTACCGTCATTAAAATGATAACACAATTAAGAAGCTGTGCATATTCGTGTTAAAGAAGTCACCTTCCTTTATATGTATATAATCTGTACACAATGGACTGCAAACATGCAATTATTGAAAATTCGCACGAGTACGTGATATTTCTTATTTTATTTTATTTTTTTATATATGGGAAATTTAGTGTGCGATGTTAAGATAACTGACTACAAGAACAACTCCGCTAGTTATAAATAATATGACATAACACAAGCACGTTAAAAGCAGAATAATGAAACGCGAATTTGTGTTTACCTTAAAGCAAACAAATAACACTTATGAATAGTGTTTCCATGCATTAACATATGCAAACACCTTAAAACATAAAACCACGTGGGCCCGTGCTTTAAATGCGTCTTAGATGATCATACAATAAAGAAAAATGTGTATTAATCATTTCTAGTGTAGACTGTTCTCATCTTCGATTTGCCAAACAAGAATGAAAGACAGAATCCATAACTGTTACCTACGAATAATACAGTCATGAAAATCGATACCGAGTTATCAACTTATCAGCTGTTATGTGTACGTGATAACCGACCTTTCAACTTACGCAATATAGCCATGGTAACTTTCAAGCCGCTAATGTCTGACTGCGTCTTTTCATTATTTAAATACAGCTTTGGGTCAACAGTTTATCCAGCTAGATCTTGAAAATGGAACGTAATATATCACGGTAAGACAAATCGTTTCTTTTGTTATTCAAGTCGAAATTAATAGCATAGTTTCTAAATGGCACATTGTGTTTGTGCCTTAGAAATAAATTCATATAGTTTTAATTCTTTAGAAATGTCAAATATGTGTTTAATTACCATGTATAAATAATGAATTAAACTTGTACATGTTAGATGTTTTATAAAAACAAATGTAGCGCTAAACATGTGGTTTCGTGTCTGTAATGTGGCAAAGTAATATTTTGACTTCCATATATAATACCAATCACTCTAATGAACAAAACTAAATATGCAAATGATAAGTCATGGGTGATGTTCACAAAGTTCGTAAATTTTGGCTGTACTGGTCACATCTTTAAATTTGCGTGAAAAAAAACATGAGACAAATATTATACCGGGAAAAAAATAATACAATATGTTTCCAAAATAACAATTCCGTGAAAAATTCAAATAAAGAGGGGTACGCGACCCTACGCACGCCATTAATACAACAATAACGTTCGTGACGTAGCATCATTGTTTTTTTTTTCAAGTACGCTCTCGAGTGTTTAATGACGCCGGATCATGTTCCTATAACAAGTGTTCTGTTTCTAGAGATAAAACGCGGCCTTTTTTTCGCTCCCTCCACTGCACAAAGGTTAAAGAGCCGGCCATTATCTATGGAACGCCTGGACTGTCTTATGTTAAGATTGAATTATATACCTGGTTAAATGTCTTTCTGTTGAGTCCGAGATACAAAATGCTGGGTGGAAATCCTAATGTGCTCAGTTATTGAAGTGCTATGTTGTGTGCTTACTGTATTTTATTCAGTCAAGTCAATGTATTGTCGGGTGCATAAGTCGTTATGTTCAGTTCTTAAAACAAACAAGCATGTGGAAACACAATTATGTTGAGTTAAAAAGATATGTTGTAGGGTGTTACAGTTATTATGTTCGGTTATTATTATATGCTGTTTGGTGCTCTTCTCATCATGTTCAACCATGAAAATAAACAGTTGAGTGGTACTATCATTTTGTTTGGTTGAGGCAGTGTATTATTGGGTGATACTTTTATTATTTTCAGTTGCAATGACATGCTGTTGGGTGCTTTATTCCTTCTGTTCAGTCGTGAAATAGAACTGTTAAATGGTACAATCATTATCTTAAATGGTACTATCATTATCTTGTGTGCTGATTATATCTTCTTCAGTCAAGTCAATGTGTTGTTCGGTGCAAAGGTCGTTATGTTCAGTGGTTGTTTGGTACTATCATTATGTTCAGTTCAGATGATATACTGTTCGGTGCAGAGGTCATTATGCTCAATAGTGAACACAAACTGTTGTGTGATACAACCATTATGTTGGGTTCATTCGGATATTTTCGGGCAACAAGATGGGAGAGGTCACGTCGAGGCTAATGACCACTAAATTGCCAAAACAATTTTCTTCCCTATAAATATTATCGGGGGCTTAAGAACGTTATTTTCATAAATTGGACTTTTAAATACCCTATGGGTATTTATTAGTTAATTCATGACTATACTATACTGTTACAGTCATAATGGGTACAGTATATATAAAACTTAAAATATGGGTAAGGGTAGCCTGTTAAAGTCACACGTGACCACCGTAAATAAAACTTAAAAAATTTATCTGTTTGGTAACCTATAAGAGTCACAAAAGGACACAGCAAACGAAATTTAAAATATAAAACATCATATTCAAGTAAGGGAACCCTATTTGAGTCACACATGGCCACAGTATATGGAGCATATTAGTAAGGGTAGCCTATTAAAGTCACATATGGCCACAGCATATACGACTTAAAATGTATTTGTTGGTAACCCATTTGAGTCACACATA